GCAAATGTCACATGCTTCCTTTTAGGTACATATTATCTCTCTGGAAAATGATTAAAATAAAACTTTACCCCTTGCTAAATTTGACTGGCTTAAAAAAAAAAACAAAAAAAAATTTACCCCAGTTCAATAATGCTTTCCTACTTGCCCATTTAAGATAATTAACTTTAAAATGTCTTCATGAATGCCCACTGAGAAGCTTGCTTGCCTAACAGACTTAAGGCTAAAGTGTTTTGTAGTTGCATTTTAATGCAAGTTTTAGGAAATTTATTGTTTCCTTTTTTAGACAGTTAATTTGAATCGAATTAATTAAAGAACTATAATTACATTTATTTATCCTTTTTGGCTGCACAGCATATGAACTTTCTAACCGGATGAAGGTAATTCCCTGCCATGTAAGTCTTGATAGGAAGCTTAAAAGTCCTGATATTTTTTGCCATGCCTCCCTCTAGGTGGGGCTCAAACATGTGGCATGGACTCTAATCATTTCCATGTCACTGGCTGATTTGGGAGCCAGTGACAACAAGGAAGTGGAGATGTAGGAGAATCTGTCCTGGTGATGTAGCAATGACTACACCAACATCCAGTTTCCAGTATGCGCTCTAGCAGTGGATGTTTGCCGTGTGTGGTACCTGTGACTTCCGTGTAAGCTGTGTCATCAAATAATCAGCAACAATAGCAGCATTGTCTTCACTGGCCGGATTCCATCCTTGGTTTTTTGGGCTGTGATTTTGGCTGCTCTTTGGCCTTGCCTTTTCTTACTTGTTTGCTAACCTTAGTTTTCTAGACTTCCCACTAATTCTGTGAAGTACTCTCTCAGTTGCTTTTTAGTACCTAGCAAAGCACCCCCAAAACTTAGCAGTTTGAAACCAGGACCTTTTTATTTTCTCTACTTCTGCGAATCAGCAATTTTTACTGGGCTCTCCTGGTATGACTGCCAGCATTTGCAGCCTTGCCAGGACGTGGTGGTCTAAGATAGCCACGTTCATAGGCTAGAAGTTGAAAGGCATCTTAGTCCTCATCCAGGTGACTCTTGGTAGGTTAATCTAGGCTTGTTTACCTCAGGTTCTTAGGGTGCTAGGTGTAGCTAAAAGAAAGTAGGCCACCAACACATAAGCACTTTTCATTCTTTTACTTGGGTCATGTTTTCTGATATCTTATTGGCCAGAGTAAGCCAGATGGCCAAGCCCAGTGAGGTGTAGAAATAAACACCTCTTGATTTGAGGAACTGGAAAATCAGCTGGCAAAGAGGCATGCCTCCTGGGGGTGAGAGAAATTAGCACAGCCTTTTTTATAAGCAGTCTACTGTATGCACAGTATGCTTTCAGTGGATTCTTCATCTGCGTAAATCAGCCAATCTATTTCTTAGCTTGACTAGTACCATTTGAAAGAGCTGCAGTAGCAAAGATTGAATCATGACTTTTATAGTAAGAGTATTACCTTACAAGTGGCCTGCAAGTGAGGCACATGCAAGGAAGTTGATAGGTCTTGATACTGTGGCTCACAAATGTTTGACAGTATGTCCAGAGTCATGTACTGAGGAGTGCCTGAGCCTAAGCACTGACTCAGAATTCTTTTTTTTTTTTATCAAACTGACCTAGATTCATGATAACTTTATTTTTATTTTTTAATTCCAAAAACATTTATAAGCATTATGTCAGGTTATAAGAACCAAGCACTTTTTAAGCTAGATATCTGTTCCTTATTGAAGTTTAGTCAATGGTAGTTTATATATATATGCAATTAAGCACAAGGTTCACGTAAGTAGACTACTTTTCATAAGAAATAAAAGTCAAGGATTATCCAAAGTTAGAATATTCCCATAGATAACAGTTAATGTTTAAGTATATTTCTGTTGATTATATTTTTTTTCTTGTGACCGAATTTCAAATCTCACCCTGATTAAGTATAATGGCATCATAGCTCACAGCAACTTCAAACTCTCAGGCTGAAATAAATGATCCTCTTGCCTCAGCCTCCCAAGTAGTTGGGAATACAGGCACCTGAAACAGGGTCTCGCTCTTGCTCAGGCTGATTTTTGAACTCCTGAGTTCAAGCAATCCACCCATCTTGGCCTCCCAGAGCTCTAGGATGACAGGCGTGAGCCACTGTGCCCAGCCTAGAGTTTTCTTCTATATAACCAGAAGTAGTTTGTAAAACACATTTAATTAGTATGTCTAAGTGTACCTCTAACAAATGGTTCTTAAATATGTAAGATGTTCAGTATCACATATATCTAAAAAAAATGCAAATTAAAACAACACTGAAATAGTTTAACCCATCCAAGTGGCAGTAATCCAGAAGTTTAATAAATATGCTGTGTCTACGAGGATGTGGGTAAACAGCCACTGTCATTGCTGGTGTGAATGTAAATTATTAAAACCTCTGCCTGGGTGATTTGGAAGTACTCATTAAATTACAGCTGACCCAGAAACTCCACTTCTAGGAATTTATCCTACTTATATATTCACACATTGACAAATGACATATGTATAACAGTATTGATAGCATCATTGTGTATAATAGTCTGTCAATTGAGGATATAATAGCATAAAAAGATCCATCAATATGGAACTCATTAAAGAATTATGATAATACATCATTACAATAAAAATCAATGCAGTTTATTAAAAAGAATACACAGCCTGGAGTGCACTGATATATTTAAAGGGAGGTCAATCAAGGAACAGTGTGCTAGAAAAGGAAAAGTAAGGAAAGAAATACATATGCTTGCAGATTTACAGACTCTGGGATGATACATAGGACTGATAACATTGAGGACAAGAGAAACTGTCGCTAACTTTTTACCTTTCTCTACTATTTGTTGTACCTTATGACCCATGTGAATTTCTTAGAAAATCATTTCTAAATAAGTAAGAAATTAATACCATGCCTCAAAAAATTAACATAGGAAAATGATCACAGATACTATATTTTAAAAGCAGGATATTGGCCAGTATCTTCTGATTATATATGAATTTTTAAAATATATTAGTGTTCATAGGGGAAAAAAGATTTAAAAGAAATATTGCAGAAAGTTAGCTTAGCAGTAAGATCATGGTTTGTGGGGTTTGGGATGATATTTGTTTTCTTCTTCAGATTTTTCTGTTTTTCCAAGTTTTCTTTCTTTCTTTCTTTCCTTTTTTTTTTTTTTTTTTTTTGAGACAGGATCTCTTTTGGTCAGGCTGGTCTAAAAACTCCTGAGCTCAAGTGATCCTCCTGCCTCAGCCTCCCAAAGTGCTAGGATTACAGGCCTGAGCTACCACACATGGCTTTTCCCCAAGTTTCCTATGATTAATCTTGAGGGGAAAAACACAGAAGCAGCTTATAACACATGTTTATAAATGTATAGATCCGTTTGCATTGTTTATATCACATGGACAAGAAAAAGAATGGAGAAAATACAATTTTCATTGTTTTGAAAAAATGAGTATATAGTTTCATTTTTCTAATGCATTGACTGTTTCAAAAACACTGAGGTTTTTACCTAAGCTTGTGGTTTATGGCGGACCAGAAATCTGTAAAGCAACCATATGCCTCACACTGCCTAGGATAGTCTTGGTTTATGTCTGTCAGAACAGTTATTAATAGAGTCCCCTTTCACTTCAAAAAAATATGGTCACCTTTGGTATGAGAGACAAGGTTGAAGTTGACAGGAGTCATGGAAAATGAAGCAGAAGGAAAGACAGGAATAAGAGATTCTTCTAAAAAGTTAAGCTTTAATCTCCTTATTCTTGAAGCTTACTCAGTTATTACTGAGAGCTTCTCTACTATAAATGAAAATATCATAGCATAAGGCTTACGTTAAGAAATTTCAAATGTGAATTTAAAAAAAATGCTGCAATTTGTAGCATAGAACTTAAGGTGTAAAGCGCAAGAGTAGTGTACAACTAACGCATTTCATAGCCTTCAGGGCAGGATACTTAAAATGTTTGGGCTTTGATTTCCAGTATAAAAATAAGAGTGTTGAATCAGATGATTCCACAGTCTTCTCCAGATCTAAAAGTAAAAATTCTTTTGTAAACTTCTTGAGGTATAAATGTATGCTAGCAATTTGAGGTAGGAAAAAGGCAGACTTGAAGGTTTTGTGTCTCTTTTCTCTCCTGTCTTGAAGGTATGGTTTTATCTAACAAGAGCCTTAGAACATCCATTTTAATCAGAGTCCATTTGAATTCCCAGGATACAATCTATGATTGTTTGAGGGTTTGCCCTGTTTCTTAGTCAATTTTTATTAATTTTTTTTTCTTGTAGAGATAAGAGTTTCATTTTATTGCCCTCAGTAGAGTGCTGTGGCATCACAGCTCACAGTAACCTCCAACTCCTGGGCTTAGGCGATTCTCTTGCCTCAGTCTCCTGAGTAGCTGGGACTACAGGTGCCCATCACAACACCCAGCTATTTTTTTGTTGCAGTTTGGCCGGGGCCAAGTTTGAACCCACCACCCTCGGTATATGGGGCCAGTGCCCTACTCACTGAACCACAGGCGCCGCTCAATTTTTATTAAAATTTTTAAGAATAAGTCTTATATTGATTTTAGGTCTTACTCTCTACTGGCACATATGATTTCTAAGTATCTTGTTGGAGAAAGAGAACTGGTGATACATACTGATGATGGGATCAAAGTAGGAAATTTTGTTAAGGTTTATTGTTAAAGATTTTTTCATTAAAAGTAAGCAAATTGAACCTTTAAGCTGAACTGCTTTCCAACTGTTTGAATGAATTACAGTCTGTACTACTTCTCTCTGCTTGTTCAGGAAATGTGAGTTCTTCCCCCAGATCCTCTGATTTAGTCAAATTAGCCCAAGAATGCTGTTACCATAATAACAGGGGCATTGCAGCTCATGGAGTAAGAGTCCTAACAAATATCACTGTCTCTTGTCAAGAAAAAGGTAAGCTTGGTCAGAACTGATATTATGTATAAATTTTTTATTAGTGCTTGGACAGAATTCTGCTTGGTTTTTTAATCCCTTATTATTTTTAGCCTGTGTGCATTGATCTACAAATTGCCTTTTTCTGAAGTGTTCTTAGAGCAAAATCCTTGTGAAAAATAATAAAGGTATGAAGACAGGACCTTGGGACTGGGATTATAGAATTAAAAAGTTTTATGGACCATTGCCCATTTCCTTCCACAGCTTACCTTTGCTAGTGTTATGAATAAGGATTACCTAGGACTCTACCCCTGAGGTATAAAGGAATGTTTTCACTTATACAGGAACCTAGAAGACTTAAGTTATCAAAGGACTTTCAGTATCAGCCTTGAAAGATGGGATAGAATTCTGGTAATTGGAAAGATCATTTGAGCCCAAGGGCCCACTTTTATACGAGACGTGAAAGCAGAAATGTACCTATTAAATTTGGAAGATTGATGAGAAACCCACTGTGGCTGGATGACAAAATATGAGATTGCCTAGAGGCAAGTGAATTAACAGAGCAATGTGAATTAAATTTTCACAGAATTTATCTCTAGGTATATGTAGCCTTAAACTGATTTGCATAATCAAGGAGGACATGCATAGAAAATAATGGCACAGATTTTATTGTGTTCCTAATATCTTTCGACCTAAAGAGTTGAAAACTTTCATGCCTGTGTTCAAGAATGGGAAATGCATTTTGGAGGCTCTGTTTCCCTGCTTATTTTGATCTTTATTAAGGACCACAAGCTCAGCATTTCCCCTTGTTCTGACTAGCCTTCAGCACTACTTGTTCCTAGTACCTATTTTTTTCCAGCATCTGACTTTCACTAGCCTTTATGTTGTTTTCTAAGCTCCTACGCTAATGCAGAAAACATTTCCCTAAGTTGTATGTTGATTCTGATTTAAATAATTAAACCTGTTTTACTTTTGGCATCATAAATAGTATTTTCTATCATGTTACATGGAAAACTGCTCTATGTTCTCAAAGCTGATATATGTTTTCTATGGTAGAAAAGGTGCTATAGTACTGCTATTACATTAGACATCTAAGGGTTTCATTCTTTATGGTCAGACGTAAAACATTAATACGATTATGTAGAGTCCTTATTACTTCCTAAAATTGGTTCAGCTTTCATTAGTAGCTAAAACTGGAGAAACAGTACACTAAACAGTGTACTGTTCTTAGTATTTTCCTTAGCTAAGCTGGTAACACTATTTCAGTTTTGTTTCGCTACAAATTTATAGCTTTGTAGCTTTAGCTCTTGATTTAACGTGTGTATTTTTATCATTTTCAATAAAGTGATAGAAAGTCTGAAAACAAGCCTTCACATTTTAGAAGTAATGCCAGATGTACTTTTTACAGGAAGGTTAGCCTGTGCTTTTAAGTGTTTTCTACATCTTAGATTCTTTGATGTTTTTTCTTCCACGTGTGTGTGCTTATGTCTGTTTAATGAGTCCACCATAAAACTTAGTGTTTTTCTTCTAGATCTTTTGGTGCTGGAACAAGATGCTGTCTTTGGCCTAGAATCACTTCTGGTACTTTGTAGTCAAGATGATAGTCCGGGTGCTCAAGCCACATTAAAGGTGAAAACTTCCCTTATTTTACTATAATATCTGCTTTCATTGCTTGAACTAGGGTTAGCAATCTTTCTGTCAAGGATCAGGTAGTATTTTAAATTTTGCAGGCCATACACTTTGTGTCACTGCTACTCAGTTCTGCCCCTGTAGGGCAAAAACTGCTGTGGATAGTGTTGAGGGTAGGTGGGAGATGTCTATGTTCCAGTAAAAAATTATTTATAAAAAACAGGGAGTTAGATTTGGCCCACAGACAATAGTTTGTCACCTCCTGGCTTAAACGTACATTTGCCCTTGATCTTCACTGTGAAAACTGACATTTTAACTGGTGGTGTCCCAGAAGGAAGGTGAAGTAGAAATCTGAGCTTTGGCCTATTTTGCCATCAGCTGACAATACTTATTAAGTTGTAACAGATAACATTTGATAGTCTTAGACAATATAAAGCAAATTTAAATAGGCAGAGCTCCTGTATTCTTAGAAGTTTTAATTTGAAGTACCACTGAGAAGTCTATGGCCAGACTAATAAATGTGTTAATTTCTCAGGTTAAAAACACTAGTTTATAAGTCAAGAGAAGAATTATTATAACAAATATTGACCTTCACTTAATTATAGGAATTACCTTAAAGATCTTTTTTTTTGAGACAGAGTCTCACCTTGTCACCCTTGGTAGAGTGCCGTAGCATCACAGTTCATAGCAGCCTCTAACTCTTGGGCATAAGCTATTCTCTTGCCTCAGCCTTCTGAGTACCTGGGACTACAGACACCCGCCACAATGCCCAGCAATTTGTTGTTGTTGCTGTTGATGTTGGCTGTTGTCGTTATTTAGCAGGCCCGGGCTAGGTTCAAACCTGCCTGCCTTGGTGTATATAGACAGTGCCCTACCCACTGAGCTACAGGTGCTGCCTACCTTAAAGCTCTTTAAAAAAAATCTTTTTTCTTACTCTGTCACCCTGGAGTTGAATGTTTTCATGTCATAGCTCATAGTAACCTCAAACTCCTGAGTTCAAGTGATATTCTTGCCTCAGCCTCCTAACTAGCTAGGACTACAGACCCCCACCACAACACCCAGCTAAATTTTAATTTTTTTTTTTTAATTTGAGATGGAGTCTCACTTGGTTACCCTCAGTAGAGTGTTGTGGCATCACAGCTCATAGCAACCTCCAACTCTTGGGTTGCCTCAGCTTCCCAAGTAGCTGGGACTACAGGCACCTGCCACAATGCCCGACTATTTTTTTTGTTATTGTTGCAGTTGTCATTATTGCTTGGCAGGCCTGGGCTGGGTTTGAACCTGCCAGCCCTGGTGTATGTGGCTGGCTCTCTAGCCGCTGAGCAACAGGTGCGGAGCCTAATTTTTCCATTTTTAGTAAAGATGGGATCTCACTCTTTCTCAGGCTGGTCTCAAACTCCTGAGCTCAAACAGTCCACCCACAGTGGCCTCCCAGAGTGCTAGGATGACAGGTGTGAGCTGCTGTTCTCAGCCATATTTAAAAATTTTTAAATGTGAAATGAGACTACTCTTACCGTATCAAACATAATTTGTGATGGTGGAAAATTAATAAGGAAAAGCATGGTTAGTAAGAGTTAAAAATAAACCTGGTAGATGTTGGGGAATGTAAGAACTTTAGCTTATCTAAGATACAGTTTGAAGGAAATCATGACTCATTTTAGCATGTTAGAAAGTATGATATGGTCATAGTGACGAACAGTAGAGATAGGAATATCGTTAAGGAAAAGCTGGTAATCAAGAAGTGGAGAAGGGAAATAAGCAACATCTACCAGCAAAACCATTCTGAGGGAGCCTTAGAATCTCCTTGGAACTATAATATATTTAAAAATTTTGTTTAAAAACAAAAAATCCTTTTCCAGACAATCAGTGTTGATACACAACACTGGACTCAGCACAGTGGGACATAATGTAGATGATCAAGCAAGGTTGCTGTGTTAGAGAGCTGCCCAAGTAGAATACAATACCAGCATTAATGTAAGAGACTGTAGTACCAAGCAGAATGCAGTATATTTTGGTTTTTTGTTTTGTACAAACAAAAGTACTCTAGAGGACAGAGTTGGAAGTAATCGATTTTAACTAAGGCTATTAGGGAAGACTTCAACAAGTAGATGTCCTATGAGTTGAGCCTTGAAAGATGGGGTAGAATTTCAGTAATTAGGAAGGATAGTTTGAGCCCAAGGGCTCACTTTTATACAAGATGTGAGAGTAGAAGTGTGCCTGTGAAATGTTGGAAGATTGGTGAGAAACCCACTGGGGCTGGATGACATAATAGGAAATTGGAAGAGTAGTTTGCAGCTCAGTCATAGAGGATGTACAACGTCATGCTAAGGAACATGGGCTTGATTTAATTCTATGGTAGTGAGGAGATAATAGAATTTTAAAATAATAGATATGCTCTGACCTTTGTTGTAATTACTACTGTTACTATTTGAGCATCTACTGTGTGCCAAACTTTGTTGAAGGCTTGTGTGTATATTTTCTTCAATCATCTAATAACTATAAAATGAAATTTGTTTTCCTCTTACCCTCGTCAGAAAATTCTCAGAGAGATAAAATACCTTTTGCAGAGCCACCTTATTATTAAAGGAGAAGCTGAACTTGAAGCCTACATTCGTCAGACTTTAAAGTTTATGATGTGTTGCTAATGCCACACTGATAGCTACATGGTTGTAGTGTCAAAGATGGATTGAGGGGTCCGCCTTTTCAAGAGATTGGAATTAGGGAGAGATTTATAGTAGAAAGAAGAAAAAGGAGCTAATGGTAGATATTAGAGACTTAACGGAATCTGATGACTGTGTAAAAGAAAGGGTTTGGGGGTTTCTAGTTTTGTTGATGGGGTATTAGTGATGCCTGTTACAAGGTTGAGTGGGAGAACCTCTACAGCCGATAGGGTTTTAGATTTCATTTGAGAAATAAGAAAATTAGAAGCCTTTCCTCCACTTTCAGTGTATTTAGAGTCTCCCAGGGCCTCTTTTTTAAAATTGCAAACTTTCAGTAACGCCAGCACCAAAAAAAAAAAGGTATTTATTATTTGGGGTGGGGCCTGAGAATCTATATTTTTATTATCATTCTGGGAGGTGCTGACATAGATAGTATACAAGTCACACTTTAGAAGTTCTTGAAAAGCAATAAAAATACAGTAAGTGACATTTAGTTTAGCATGTATTTGCCTCTTTAGCATTGTCCCTTATGATTTTTATTTTGTCTTTTTAACAAATATTTTTAATAATCCTAGATTGAAATGAGTGGTTGATGTATGGTCCTGATTCGTTATTTTAAACATAGTGCACTTCACAAACTCTAATGTGTAGGATTCAATACATCAAGTGCTTCTTAAGAAGAAAAATGTTACGCCTGCAAAAAAAAAAAAAAAATTCTTGATTTTTCTCCATAATTTGTACAAAGTTCTTTTATGAAAGCTTCACTTAACACTTCCAAAGTATAATTAGTCCCATTTTCTTTTTGGTACACAGATGGCTCTAAATTGCATGGTCAAGTTGGCCAAGGGCAGGCCTCATCTTAGCCAGTCAGTGGTTGAAACCTTATTGACTCAGTTGCACAGTGCTCAGGATGCTGCCCGGATCCTGATGTGCCACTGCCTGGCGGCCATTGCCATGCAGCTGCCAGTGCTGGGTGATGGAATGCTTGGTGACCTTATGGAGCTCTATAAGGTGATTGGACGATCAGCCACAGACAAGCAACAAGAACTTCTGGTAAAAAGATACTTTTTTATCTCCTTTGGATGACTAAGAGCTAGCTGGTCTACTGGGAATTACTTTAAAAAGTCAACACTGCTGTTTGACTTTACTTAAAAAGCAAAACAAATAGGTTAAAATAATTATATAAGACCAAGAGCATGTGGAAGTCAAAACAGAATTGGCATGAGCTTTTTTACTCTTTTCACTTTTGATTTAGAAAGTGTATTGTTCAAATCTAAAACTGCTTTTTAAGTCCTGTCAGATCAGCTTAGAGAAAGCCTTCAAAGCTAATGTTTTTTGTTTGTTATGAAAAACAAAATGAAAATGAGATTTATTTTTACTTATACAAAGCAAATAAATAATCAACTAATCCCTGTTTTATATTTCAGAAAATAAAAGTTTAAAATCTCATGATTGTGATGACCACAAATTAGTCTAAATTCCTGTTTTTGATCCCGGGATCTGTTTACCTATTTAGAATCCAATTTAGATTTTTGTAGATTCTTGTGGTCAGGAAAGATGGATGCTTAGAAACAGATAGAAACAAGCTGTAAAGTGTGTAGTTGAAACGTTTTTAAGGCTGAGAGTAGGCTATGCTAAATAATCATAAATTGAATGAAAGCTAGGAGGTTGCCATTCCATACTGTTCCTGTTCATCTGAATCCAGAGCTTAGGTAAAAGTATAATTAAATTAGTTACTCAAGTCTGTTTTATATATAATCCTTCATAAGACATTGTGTAAAAGATTGACCCTTTCTAATTATTTGTTGTCAGAAAAGGTTACCAAATGGCAGAGGTCATGGGAATGATTTCATGCAGTTATCACAATATATGTGCATCTTTATGTGAATTAGCATTGTTAGATTAAGAGGCAGTTAGTCAAGTTTATGTTTTATTGGAGTGACATTTCAAACTAATGTTTTTATCCCTTTTTTGTCATTACTACTTTATGGCAATTTTAAATCATTTCAAAACATCTGAGGAATAATACAGTGAAAACTCTTGCATTCAATACCCAGTTTAAGAAAAAAAAAACATCAGGCCAGGCATGGTGGCTCACGTCTGTAATCCCAGCACTTTGGGAGGCCAAAGTGGGAGGACTGCTTGAGACCAAGAGTTTGACATGAGACTGGGCAACATAGCAAGACCCTGTGTCTAAAAGTTAGTGAGTGTGGTGGTGGCATGCTCCTATTGTCCCAGCTACTTGGAAGGCTGAGACAAGAAGCATGCTTGACCCCAGGAACTCAAGGTTACAATGAGCTGTAATTAGGCCACTGCTCTCCAGCCTGGGCCAACAGAGCAAGACTGTGTCTCTTAAAAAAAAAAACTTAAAAAGTATTACCAGTATAGCAGAAGCTCCCTGGGTTCCTCCCTTATGGCATCTCCTCCCTTTTCTCAGATGTAACCAACCACTGTCCTGAATTTGGTATTAATCATTCCCATATACTTTTACTACCTACGTATATATTCCTAAGAAATATTCAGTATTACTGTATGTATTTTAACTTTATGTTAAATGTATCATACTTCATGCAGTCTTTTGCATTTTGCCTATTTTGTTAATCATCTGTATTTGTAAATATATCTTTAGTTTATCTACCTGACATATATTATCTCATGGTATGATTATAAATTTTATAATTTATCTGTATTTATGAGCATTGCTCCTATTATAATTATTTGCTATTATATGCCATTCACATAAATAATGCTCTAAGTAAATAGAATCAATTAGTTAATGACTTAAAAATGAAAAAGCAAATGTCGATGGAACACAAATTTTCTTTTGAAATGGGCTCTAATTGGATTTTCCTTCCTTTGGGTAAGTTATCCATGTCATTGGATAAAATTATATGATTTTTATATTTTTTGCCCAATGTTAGGTGAGTTTGGCGACTGTGATTTTTGTAGCAAGTCAAAAGGCATTGTCTACTGAAGTAAAGGCAGTAATTAAGCAGCAGCTTGAAAGTGTCTCCAATGGATGGACTGTATACCGCATTGCCAGGCAGGCTTCCAGAATGGTATGTATCACTCACTCTTGTAACTGAACTGGGTAGGCGGACAGGCAAGGTCATATACCTTAGATTGTATGATTATTAGTCATAGTCAAAACTAAAATATAAAGATGGAAGTACTTTTTAGTCATGAGTTCTAAAGATGAATAATCTGACCTTTTCACTTTTCTAATAACAGATGATGTTGTTGGTATTTATCAGTGATACGAAGAAGTTAAAATCTGAGCTCCTCTGGCTGTATGTTGAGTGCTACTCATTTTGCTTATATTGTCATGATCTAAGCCACTTGCCACCCCGTTTCTATCCTGCTTTTTGTAGTACAATACATCTTCTCATTCTCTCTCCAGCCTTGTCATTCTAAAGTAGAATGGAAGTTTTATTGAGCTGTGCTCTTCTCAGCCACATGGAAAGCCTAACAATTTTTATTCATTTTGTATGAGAGGAAGTAAATACAGACCTTGGTTAGTACAGATACCCTTTAGGGATAAGTCCAGAGAACGAAGTTTGAGAAACATGACTGCAGGTGATTGAAGCGCATGTTCTTAATTTTTCAGTTGTTTCTTAGATTTTCCATTTTTTCTCAAATAGGGAACATTGTAGAACATTGAGCATCCTAGCCTCCAGGCATTAAATGCCATTCACATTCTCCCCCATAATTCCTCCTTCCCTCCTGGGGCTTTCCTCACCCCACTGAATAGCTGTATGTCGTTCATAATGACATAAGTATACTTTTCTGAATCTTGGACTAAAATTCCATTTCTTTTTTCTTTCAAACTGTTTTAGTAAGGAACTTAAAGCATTGTTACATAAAGGTAGCTCAGCATGTATTCTCTGAGGATGCATTTAAACTGAGTCTCAAAAAATTATATAATATGAGGAATAGTTCTTCAAACTTATCCAAGGTTTGAATTTGTCTTTTAGCTGCAGCATCGACTGTTTTCTAAGTACGAACCTCACCATGTGCCACTTCTGTTTCTTTTTTTTTCTTTTTTTAGGGTAATCATGACATGGCCAGAGAGCTTTATCAGAGTTTGCTGACTCAGGTTGCCTCGGAGCACTTCTACTTCTGGCTAAATAGTCTGAAGGAGTTCTCACATGCAGAACAGTGTCTCACCGGCTTGCAAGAGGAGAATTATAGTTCAGCACTTTCTTGCATTGCTGAGTCTTTAAAATTCTATCATAAAGGGATTGCTTCCTTAACAGTAAGTTCTCTTAATTCTCCTTTGGTGATGATAACTTATGTGAGAATTCTCTCTCTTCTTTTTGGGTTATCCTGTTTTAATTACCTTGAGAAACCAGCTGATGTGTGAATTTGGCAATACCAAAGTAATAAATAGGTCATGGAAATAAACCAACCCTTAGTCCTTCCCCTCTTCTAACATTTCATAGATTGATGAAAACTTATTTTGTTTCTATAAAGTACTGGGTACCACATGTGAAGAAGATTACTGAATCCATGCAAAAAGGATAAGTGGTGTGGAGATAGGATATTCCCTCTACAGACTTTTACCAGTAAGATCCCAGGCCGGATCAGTACTATCAAACTGAAACCCCTGATCTCATGTCATACCTGGCAACTAGTTTAGAGTTTCTTGTTTTATAGATAAAGAAAAAATTACCGAGAATTGCAGTGTCCCGCTTTGTACTCTTCTGTGTTGTCCTTCTGCTCCAAATTAAGTCACCTAGCTATACTTTCTATTTGCTCTGTCAAGGAAATGACAGGTTGCAGAGAGGGCAGACCCTTAACATTTCTTACGTTTTCTCAAAATTAGTTAGATTCCTACACAAGAACCTATTCTCTAAAATGAGTATTTCCTGTATTAAAATGCAAGGGCTTTTTCCCTTAAAATTAAAAAGGTTATATAATTAACATTAATCATTTTTAAAAATTTTGCCACACAACTTTAAAAATTATATATATTGAGGTGATGTCATAAAACTTTTGGTACCTGCTTATATACATTTATAATATATCTAAAATGCTTTTAGTGGTGGCCCAGCCCAAAAGAAATGCTTCAGAGTAGAACAAAGAACAAACAAAAGAGACAATATTCAGACTACCATGAGGCACATGTTTTTTGAAGTATGATTTTCTTTTTAATGCCAGGATTGATTGCTGACTGTTTAAAATAGGAATATAGGCTTTTTTCCATTTTAAAGGGTGGTATTAACTACTGTGATTCTTTCTTCTTGTTATTCTGGGAAAAGATTTTTCTTTCCTATATTAGGCTAATAAAGGCTAAGGAAATTAAAAGGTCTAATTATTGGTTCAAATCAGTAGAATTATTTCATTTTCTAGTTTATGTAGAGTAGAAAATTGTTAATCATTCAGTACTGTAAATCATAAGAACTGTGAAACAGACTCAGAAAATACTGAAGCAGATGAAATTAATTTTATGAAAAATTCTGTTGCATATTTAATACTCTTTTAATTGTGTGGTGTATATGTTTATGTGGTTTGACAATAATTAAGGACTGAATTCCAGTATAGGAAGAAAGCACCTGATTGACAAACAGGAGATTCTTTCTTAGTCTTTGACCTACTGTGAACACAGTGTGACCTCCAGGTCATTTAGCCTCAAATTTGTTTGTGAAATTGTGTTCTTTTATTCAACAAATCATAAGCATATGTGTCTAACACTGTGCTTTGAGAACTTAAAAAAAAATCGTGTTTATTTGGCAAGCGTAGCTTTGACAGTAGTTTTCTGTCTTTGTGTGGGGTTTTTTGGTTTTTTTTTTGTTTTGTTTTGTTTTTTGAGACAGCATCTTAACCATGTCGCCCTTGGTAAAGTGCCATGGCTTCACAGCTCACAGCAACCTCAAGCTCTTGGGCTTAAGAGATTCTCTTGCCTCAGCCTCCCAAGTAACCGGGACTACAGGCTCCTGCCACAACACCTGGCCATTTTTCTGTTATAATTGTCATTGTTGTCCAGCTGGCCTGGGCTAGGTTCAAACCTGCCAGCCTTGGTGCATGTGGCCAACCCTCAACCACAGTACTACGGACGCTGAGCTTTCTGTCTTTTTAACTAAGTAAATATAAGTATTGACTAATCTTTTACTTCCTAATATGAATTATCCATAGCTGAGATAGTATAGCTCTTAGGATCATGCTTTTTACCTAAATAAGAGAAGTTCAAAATTTTGTGCTTTTTGGGACCCTATGGCAGTATTCAATATTTAATTTCCCAATACAGTGATTAATGTTAGAATTGTCTTGTTCCTTTGGAATAAAAATTATAAAAAGTGTTTATATTAGCTTCCTGTACTATGTAGCAAATTACAGCAAAACTTAGTGTCTTAAAACAATACCCAATTATTATTTCCTTGTTTCTATGGGTCAGGAGTCCAGGCATGGCTTGACTGGGTCTTCTGCTAGTGGTGTCACAAAACCATAGTCAAAGTGTCTGGGGGCGGGGGGAAGTACTCTTTATCTAAGGCTCAAATAACCTCAGGATCGTTTTCTAAGCTCATATACTACTTGCTTAGGTATCAAGGTACTATTTTATGTTGTTTGATTTTAAATTATATAAAAAGAAATTATATGTTTTTTTCTTTGATTTGCTTTGATCATCTAAATTATGTTCCTAAAATTCATCCATCTTGTTGCATGAAGTTGTAGGTCAATTGCACTAATACTCTTTTGCATCATAAGAATGTACCGTATTTTCCTGTATATATTGTGTACTTTTTGGCCTAAATTTTTAGGGAAAAATAAAGATGTGCATTATACCTGTAGTAGTAAGGCTTGGGAGCTGGGGGAAGTCTAGCAGGCTTCCCAGAGCCGCCACACCCTCCTGCCTGGGCCCTCCAGGTGTGGGTGTTCTAGACTGGGAGGATCCCTGATCGAGTGGAGTAGGCTGGAATGGCCTATGACAAGCTCTGCGATCAGGGCAGGGGGCAATGATGGGGTTGGTGAGGTTGGCTGTGGCCATGCAGTGCTCCTGGTAGAAAGGAAAGAGGCAGCGTTCACAGAGCGGTGGCTATGGGAGGGCAGTGGGATCTGCACATTTGCCCGGGGAATGTTAGCCCTCCCCAGATGTGTCTCTCCCAACCAAGAGCCATCTACTTTCTTGGGGAGCATTCTCCATAAAGTTTGGGCCAACAAACATGGGTGTTCATTAGACACAATAAAACACAATGTATCAGTTGATTTTCCCATTCTAGTATTGACAAAAATTGTGATTTTTCCAGTTTTTTTGCTATTACCCATGTACGCTCTGAACATTCTTGTCATGTCTTTTAATTTCACTTACACAAACCTTTGTCTAGGACGTTGGCTTTCAAGTAGGAATGGTTTTACTCCCCAGAGGATGTTTGGCAGTGCCTGGAGCCTTTTTGGTTATCATAACTTGCCAAGGTGTTGCTGGTATTTAGTGCATAGAGGCCAGCAATGCTGCTTAACATCCTACAATGTACAGGGCTGTCCCCTCAACAAAGAATCATTCAGCTGAAAATGTCAGTAGTACTGAGGCTTCAGTCCTTGTGGGGGCCAGCATATATTCAGATTCTCCTAATTTCTAGGATATAGCCCTTTGAGGTTAAAGTGGAAAGCCTGAAGTTTTCCACAACCCATACTTGTTTAATGAGACTGCTGAAATCTGCTCTGCTCAGCTTTTCAGACTCTCAGCAGTAGTTTTCAACTTAGCATATGTCTCAAGGGGAATGATGTCACCATATGTCAGTCTTGCCTTACTGGGTTTCCCTTCTCCATGATTTTGGCTTCATAAGTCCTTGTTGCCTTAGTAGCTCTTCAATACTTTTCAGATAAATTTTAGTATTTTGGTTCATTTTCCCTGTTATTCTTAGCAGGGGGGCTGGTTTAATCTAGTTCATTATTACTTTAGGCTTGACTTAATTATTTTAAAAACTGAGCTTATGCTAAGTGAAATAAGCCAGTCTCAGAAAACATATTCTATGGTTCCACTTAGATGAAATATCTAAAACAGTCAAGTTCATAGAAACAGTAGAATGGTGACTGCCAAGGGATTGAGGGAAAGGGGAAGTTTTGTTTAATGAGTATATAGAGTATTGTTAAAAAGGTTTTGGAGATCCCTTTCACGGCAGTGATGAGTTTATAAGCTAGCTTTTTTTTTCTCTTCTTTTTTTTATATTAAATCATAGCAGTGTACATTAATGTAATTATGGGGTACAGTGTGCTGGTTTTATATATCATTTGAAATATTTTCATCAAACTGGTTAACATAGCCTTTGCTGCATTTTCTTAGTTATTGTGTTAAGACATTTATACTCTACACTTAGTAAATTTAACATGTACCCTTGTAAAATGCACTGTAGGTGTGTAATTGGTGGGAACACACCCTCGGTGCTTTTTTTTTCATCTGCATTGATTCTTTTTATCTAGCTCCATGTAGAAAACAGGATAAGTACTACAAATCAGAAATTCAGTGCAGTAAAATTATTTGCGCATTTAACACAAATT